GGTCGGTGTAAAGGGGTCCAGGTAAGGTTTGGGGTTTGAGGATTGTTTCTGTTCAAACCTGGCAATAAGGAATCCTGGCATGTTCCTGGATTCCTAGACCCTAAACCCTAAAAAACCCTAAACCCTACATAGTTGCCCTTTAACACTAAAGCCCTAAAACCCTAAACTCTAAGCCTTAAACCCTAAAACCCTAGGCGCGATCAGATGGTTGCAGGCTCTCTGAGAACTTGGTGGTTCTCAGCTCGGACCGAGGGAGCAGATTCATTGTACAGGCCCCCTCAATAAGATAGGCTTTAGGGTTTTGAGTTTAGGGGTTAGGGTATGGTTCCCCTTAAGTAGTTAGAATATGGGGGCATATGTTGATCCTTTTATGATACGGTTTAGGGGCCAGGATTGGGCCTTAGGATTTAAAGTTGAGGGTTATGATTTTGGGGCACAGCCATATCCCCTCCACTTCAGGGTGGCCATAGGGGCCCAAAGAATCAGGACCCGAACTCCTGTGAGTTCTAGACAATACCTGGCTAAATCCATCAGCATAGTGTTCAAGGTGTAGGGGTAGGGGCCTAAATAACTACCAATATCATGTTGAATTCTTTGGAGGTACCCCTACACCGTATGTAATTGCATAAGGAATCTGAGACCCTCACAAACCCTAAGCCTTGAAGCCTACCTGCACCCCAAAAGTATGTAAAATAATGGCCTTTTGGGCTGTTACAAGGGGTTTAGGGCTATTGTTTTACATACTTTTGGGGTTGGGGTGAACCCTAAATGTAGCTGTTTAGGCTTCTGCCTTGGGCTTGCCGCGCGGAGTTTCGCTTCAGGAGCGAGGCCTAATTTGGGCAGGCCAGTAATGCAATGCCTCGCAACTTTGGTAAGACAACCAGAGGGCCCTGTTTCCTTCAATTCGGGGGATATACCCCGCATGAGGACTACTAGGACCCTAAACCCTATAAACCCTAATACGAGTTGGCGAGTTTATTCATCCATTTAGGAGCTTCTGGCTTAATGGGCGCATGAATGCGTCCTAATTAGGCTACGGAGCCAAACAAGCACTGCAAAGGGAGAGTTGTGGTACTTTGTACAATATCTCAGCGGTATGTAATGCAAACCCTACACAACGCTAAACCCTAAAGCCTAAAACCATGAATCCTACATCGCGGTCTAGGGTTTAGGGTTTCAGGTTTAGGGTGGTGGTCCCTAACCCTAAACCGTAAACCCCAAACCCTAAACCCTGCCTGTAGCCGAAAGAACCATTTTCAGGAGTCAATCCCCAATTTTCGGCCTCAGAGTGTGTGGTGCTCAGCTCCGGAACCTTGGTAATTAAGGATTCTAGGGGTTGGGGTTTAGGGTTTAGGGGTTTAGGGTTTAAGGGGGTTGGGTTTAGAGCATAGGGTGTATCCTAAATTACCTAGACCCTAAAACATACCTAGAGCGGCCATAATATACCCAATAAAAAGGCTTTGTACCTTATAATTTGTTATCTTTACCCTTTTCAGGGTCTAGGTTACTCTTATGTAAGCCCTAAGGATTCCAGGGTCTGGAAAATTTGAGTCCAAATCGGGGCTTCCTTTGGGGTTTAGGCGTGCTAGTCTGAATTCAAACTCTGTTTACAGACTGCCCTAAACCCTAACCCCTAAAGTCTGAAACCCTAAGCCCCTGAGCTCTGGACCTACGACGCACTGTGTATCCATCGCTGAAAGAGCTAAAGCTTCCTCCCACTCAAAGAGTCTAGGGTTGGGGGTTCAGGGGCTCTACAATGGCGATTGCCATCCCAATGAGCAGTACTACTAGAAGATGCATGTAGGAAAGTACAAAACAAGGCTACAACCCCAAAACTCCGTTTTATCATACTAGTACTAGGCATATGAGCTATGATCTTCTTGAAGGAAAGGACAAGCGCACAGAAGCAACTTTACGAGCCTGGTTTAGGGTGTGGGGTTTAGGGTTGAATGGAAAAGGGACTGGAAGCTACTATGCTCTCGAACCTTACAGGGACGACTCTTGGATTCCATCTCCCCCATTCCCTACTAATTCACCACCACTAAGCAAACCCCAAATCTGAAGCTCACCACTTGGAAGGTTGTCAAAGACATGGTCCCGTAGCTCTCGTAGTTGGCTACCCTAACAGTAGGAATAAGGACACAAGATTGGACCGGAAACTTGCCCCTGGGAGGATCTAGAAAGCAGAGCGCCCTAAATGATACCTAGAAGTATCCGAATATATAATATAACCCAGACCCATGATTAATAGACCCCCTCCCCTTGATAGGGATTATACTGAGGATCCTAATAATACTAAGGACCTTAGAAGCAGGGGGTTTATAAATCAGGGGTCTCAGTATAAGGTACCAGACTGGGGCTTCTACATTTTTAGACCCCTAAACCCTAAACCCTATCTGGGTATTTAAAGCTTGCCGAGAAGGAGCTGCATAGGTGTAATCTGAGGCGGCGGGGGAGGCAGGACACGGCCACGATTCAGCTTCCTCAGCTTTAGCTGTACATTGGGTAGTTATAGCTTACTTAAGATGGTTTAATAATTATTTTGTTTGTTGGGTCTTGGGATGGGGAAAAAATATATATATATATACATATGCGGAAGGAAATTGAAATCTCGATGTTATTTAGCGTTTGGGGTCTAGGGCTGGTAACAAAGACCCCCCCAGCTCGCAACAACGAATTTGCTATTGGAAGGGGGGGGGGTCTACAGCGGAAGGGGGATTGGTAGGAGTTTCGCGTGCATTTAGGAGTTAGCTTCTGAGTGCCCTGATGTCGGCCATAGCCGTTGTTACCCTGCTTATACATATACAACTCAAAATTCATCTTATGAAGGACATCAGATGTGTGGGGTTTCTATTCATCATCAGTTCCGAGTACTTGCCAAGACTTCCACAAAACACGTTCCACTCCCTGCAACAAATGATGTCTTTCATGCCCTCCGACGCAAAGGCGGCGAGAAAGCTTCCTAATGCTCTTGCCGTTGATCGCGTGTCAGTGGTGGTTCCTGCTGTGATGGCTTCTGGGCCCCTAAACCCTTAACCCTAAACTATGACCATATGTGGAACCACCAGCCTGGGGAAACAGTAATCCTAAACTTGACGCGACTCTCTTCAGCCTGCTGTTAGGCCATTTTGCTCTGCTTGTCGAACACCGACAGATCAAGCATGCTCACCGGACGAAAATTGGGAACCGCGCTGGGAGGAGGGTTTTGAGGGTGCAGTAGAAAGTCAAGGCGTTGAGCTTTAGGAATAGTTAATAGAAGGGCCACAGAGAGGGGACCCGACTGCTGCATGGGAATCTAGTGGGTTTCCTGTTTTTGGTGCCAAAGCTCTCTCATATTTTCGGGCTCAGGGTCGTGGGCTTGGGGTCAAGGGGCTGCTGAGCGGGAGATTCCCCTTTTGGTTCTGACTGTAGTGCAGGTCTGTACCTTTGGGGTTTGTGACACGGCTTTTTGTTCTAGCGACCTTTGCTACCTTGCAGCGAATGCTTGTTGGCTTATCTCTTTAGAGAGCATTGTTCAGGGTTTAAAGTTTAGGGTTTGGGGTCTAGGGCTTGGGAAACACTTCTGAGAGTCCACATCGTTTATCATAAGTTGGGGTTTATTTGAGGGCCTCCATTTCTGGAATCCCTTTCATCATTCTTCAGAATCTGCAACCTCAGCAGAGCTCCAATGCTTGCTGTTTTCTACTACAACCTCTCAATGCCTAACTCCAGCGTTTTCAACCAAAAGCCCCAAACCTTGCATTCGACATTCCATACGCCCCACCCAAAGCCTCCTCTGCAGTTGCTTTTGGGAGTAGTATACGATGACCCTTACCAAAAACATTGCCAAGCCAACAAAAAAATAAATAGGAGCCATCCGGTAACCGCTGTAACTGGACTGTAACTCCTAAACTCGGATCCAAAAACAACTTGCTTGTCGTTTATCTTGACAGAGTGTGGGTGCTGGTTGTTTTTTTGTGGGGATAATTACCATGTGTTTGGGGCTAATGAATCCCTCCATACACATCTTAACATCTCCCCTGGCTGAACAGATCAAATATGCCCCTTGTATGACGTCTCTCACGAATTCAGCATGAAGGAAGGCACGAACAACAATCAAACCCAAACGCACCCTCCCAGAACAACGAAACCCCCCTACCCCCTACATTTTACCCCCTAATATTGTATCATGCTATACTCGTGGAATATTCGTTATTAGGGAGTGGGCGGGGTAATTTGAGTAAACCCTATAGCCCTGAACCCAATCCCTAAACCCTAGACCAGTGCAAGATCCTCCGGGACCCCCGCTCGTACGCCTCAGCGGCCTCTTCACGCAAACGAGCCTGCTCGACAGCCAAACCTCAGGCCCAAAGTGTTCATGCAGGTTTACCCAGAGGGTCCATGTACCCAATAATTAGGTACTTGGGTTTGGGGTAATAGTAATCATAGTACAGGTTTTGGGTAAGTATATGATTATTAGGTACTTGGACCCTTAGGGGTAGGGCTTCAAATTAGGTTGGGGGCACCTGTAATTCTATAATGAGGACTACAA